CTTTAGGATTCAGGACTTGGCATTTGAAGCTGGGGTCTCAATGAAAGGCGGGGTGCGGTATGACTGGCCTCTTCCTTCCTGACCTTCTGGTACACAAACATTCCACAAATTGAAAATGCGGCATGCATCCAGTATGCTTTGTTCGGTTGAGGGGGAGTAGGCATGTGTGCGCATGTTCAAACCCAGCCTCAGGGGAAGCTGTCCCATGCCTCATGCATGGCGGCTTCAAACAACCAACCAACGCACTTTCGGTTGTTAATTCCATTGCACAGTCACAACGCTTGGGCCGCTGCCCACCAGTCTGCTTGGGCCGCCTTGTTGCGAAAAACAGCCTGAAGCGTGTAGGCCAACGAAATCAAAAATCTCTCCTATGACGAGGTAAAAGTGGGAGAAGCATATCTGCAAGTCCTATCAACAGCAACGAAATCTGTCGTATCCGGGAGTCTGCAACAGCCACCTTCTCTGCTGGCGGCGTGTCATTGCGCAATGAGGCCTGCCAGGCTTGCAACAATGTTCGGCTAATAACCCCTGCAATCCGAAGGCAGACCCCAAATGGGATGGATAAGGCTGAGGGAACAACACGTATTCTGAAGACCTTGTTCGACGTTACAGACACCGCCAAAAGACGGCCTCTTGCGATGACTTATGGAAAGGGGTGTTCACGAAGTGAAGGACTGGGTTCATGGAGTACTGTGTTGCAGGTAGGGTGTTGATCCTGGCTGGCCAGAGTACGAACTTGCCCCATATGGGGGTTTCCCAAAATTAGGGGTACCTGTTTGGGGGTCCCTATAATAAGGACTATAGTATATTGGGGTCTATATTGGGGTACCCCAATTTTGGGAAACTACCATATCTCGCGTTGCGTGTGCAGGAGCTAGTCTCTGAGCAATTTGGGTTTCAGGCTGATGAAAGCCACTTTGAGGAAAGACTCTTGTCCTTTGCAGACCTTACCCTATGGAAATCTTAAAGCTTCGGATAAAACAGACCTGTGGAAAATCAGCAGCCCAAGAAGTTGTGAGCCAGGCATTTTAGTCTGGTGGCACCCTTAACCTGACACTTTTGAAACCTAAACCCTGGTCGTCGGTGACGGCTCCTAGACGACCGACTGTTCTTGAAATCTCCAAGGTGTCTGTTTCGCATCTTACCAAAATGAGGCATAAAACGATTTGTTTAAGTTTCATTGTCCTAGTGTTTCTGCTGTTCTTCTGCTTGCTGCCAATATCATCCATTAACAGCAGCAGTCTTGTCGTTTGCTCTAGATGGTCCGCTGCGCGCTTTAAGGATACCACCATTAGCATGAAAATCATTGTCGGTGTTGCTTCTACTGTCGCTGTAACGAGTACTTGTAACACCCTGGCTGGACATCAGCACAAAAATCCGACCAACTCGCGGCCAGTGTTATTGTCAATACAGTACTCGCAAGTGGTAAAACGTGTCCGGGTCGGTACCCGCACACATTATCTTCTAGGGTTTCCTATATCCTCCCTATCGTTTTCAAGATTACAAAGCCAATGCCTTCTTTCTCCTGTGAACACTGCCATTTAGATTTTCTACGCCAGTTAGTCTTGTGCAACGGGAGAGAACGCTTGCTGGAAGGGCCTGAAAAGCCGGTTCCCCGAAGCTGGGCCAAGCGCAGTAGCTCAGGGCAAGGGAGAGTGATATGAACGGTTGAGAGTGAAAGTTGCAACAAAACCAGCGATTACGCCACCAACCGGAATCCTCCAGTCCTACGATTGCCACGTATATCCTGGCCAAACTCCAAGGATGGGTAAGGGCCCGATCGCAGGGACGGCAGAAAAAAGGAAATCCCACAATCCCACGCCCCCTCCGAGTTCCCTCTTACATGGTACACGTAGAACACGAGATCCCAAACAAACTTTTGGCCGCACTCAGAAACTTGTAGATGCCAGGTGAGCTACGGGGTCTACAGAGGGCTCAAGGAAAAGGACGTTTCTGAACACCTGGGGTTTTATTGGCCCTTAGTTACGGATCAGAAGTGCTCGCTGTCACGACCAAAACGTTCCGACGCCAGCCTGTGGGCCATCTGCAACATCCATCTGGGCCAGCACAGCCTGTGGGACAAGGGAAGCCAAAGGCACGACCTATGCACCTGCCATTGAGACTTCCAGATTGAAACGCTGGACCCAACTCTTGCACTTTAGAAAGGCTACAGCTGACGAGTGAATGCGAGCGACAAATGACCCAGTGCTAGATCTAAGTCCGGCGGCCTCAATTGGAGGATCACCGTCTTCGGAGCCAACCTCCTTCTCCAGGTGCTCCGCCTGCATCCCCAAAGCTGGCATCAATGGTTTGCATCCAAATGTGCAATCCAGATGTGCACGAGCGCTGTATAGACACGTGTTTGGCGCAAAGCTTCTTCGAGAACCTCGAGACTTTCTGCAGTTACTTACAGATCACAAACGCTCCCTCCTGCAAGCAACATGAGGAAGGAACGTTTGGGTCGTGTTTGCCTGTACTTGTTGTTTTCCACTGCATGCTGGCAGAGTCCCGAAATCATCACATACGTCTCCATCATCATCGTCGTCATCGGCATCATCGTTGCATCATCGGCAAAGTCATCCTCCCCATCACGGCCACAGCACCAGCAGCTGCAGCTCGACTGTCGATCAACCCTGCTGGTAAGCCGCGGCTAAGGGAAGCCTACGGAGAATCAGCAGGCCAAGAAATTGGGAACTAGACATTTGGGCTGAATCTCATCTTAAATCCGAAGCAAAACCTAAATCCCGCGCGTGGGGGTGGGCGGGAGGGATTTTGGCAAGCTTGGCACTGGGCGATGAAGACCCACGCCTGAGTGGGGATAGCCGACACCATCAAGAATGTCCCATCAACATTCAACAGCACAGGCGAATCCAAAGGACGGAAGGTGCACGGCCCTTAAGGTGCCCCGAGCGCTGGGCACGCTCACTGGCATAGACGGGCAGAGACATAACTATTCGCAGAAAGATTGAGGTTGTTTTGTGTAGTCGTCTTGCGCAGTGCTTCAAAAGGCAGTGTGGCATACTGCGGTACGATACGGCACGAGCACGTGTGTGACCACTGATGGCATCCAACGCTGCATCACATCAAGGATGAACGTATACCCTAAATAATACTGTATAACCCCTATATAATCCCTAAAACCCTTAGTGGTTTCCATTATCCCAATACTATAACACTAACATATACTCTATATAATCCTTTTGAGTCCCAAAATCTGAGGCTGCTGCTTTTGCAAAGCTTTTCGAGCTCCTTCTCGAGGAGCTCCAAACTAGCCTTGCAAACTGCATCCTGCTCAAGCTCGCAAGAATGTGATCGTGGGCCCAGGCTGGCCACTCGATGTTGTAGCCTCATCGTGTGGCACTCGATGGCATGCACATGCAGCAACGATCCTATCAAGGTAACGCATCTACGCACACGCCCGTGGCAGGCAACTGCATCAGCAGTAAGAGCAGCAAGCACAGCAAGCTCAGCAAGCGCAGCGATCGTGAACCTAGGCAAAGTAAGCTGCAAACATCGGCCAATGACCTCCAGGTCGTCCTGAAGATCGCCGGGCAGCTCGCCTGGCAAAAAAAAATCATCTTGCTTCTCTCCAGCATTGAAAAGCTATTGAGGGCTGCACTGCTGCGCCAGCTCATTATCCTGCAGGATGGTTACTTGGCTTAAAGTGCCATCTGGCCCGAGCAAGCTCTGCTCATGCTGAGTACAGCACCCGCAAAGAGGAGATTGCAAAAGGTATCAACCCGTTAACCCGTTTGAGCCGACTGATTGAACAAGACATTGGGCGATAAGAACTAAAAATGCAGACATGATCTCAGGGAGGGGATGGGCCACTCTCTCTCTCTCCCCTTCTCGTGCTGGGCTCTTTCGCTTGCTGGGCTCTGTGCCTCCGGTGCCGATCCAACCCTGTCCTGGCTCAAGCAGCATCGGAAGCTGGCTACACGGCCCTCTTTCCGGCGGCACCGTTGCTGAAAGATCGTCGGCGCAGAGAAATAGAAGGAGGCAAAGATGGAATCACTCGCGGCATTTGGCTTTGTGACTTGTTGTATGCGTGTTGCTGCAGGCGGCTGCCTCCCGACGCAGTTGTTGTGAAGCACAGCGAATTTTCACGTTCGAGAATTCAACAAGACTTGCTTGTGCCGAAAACAACACTCTGGTGAAGCAACGCTTTTTCAAAAAAGTCCAACGAAGCGGTAACTTCCACAACGGTCTGTCACCTCCGATGGTCTTGTTGTGGTGCTTGGCACTCCTTTAAACAAATCTACACTGTAACTGTCTGACATCTTCCCTCGAAGAGACTAACCCCAATGCCTTTTTACAGAGCTCCTGCTTATCGTCTCCTTGCTGCAATACGATTGCCAAGGAAAAGCGGAGGAAAAATCCGTGTCCCTTCAGGCGCGTGGACTAAACCCCCTAAGCTGCGTGCACCGAATTTAAGATCCACACAGGTCGTCTTTCGTCGCGCTTTATACAATGGAAAATGCTATGGTATATTGGGGTTATATATAACCACAATATACTATAGCAGTTTCCATTTCATTTTCCATTATCCCCATAGAACCCCAATATAACCCTCATAGAACCCCTATATATAATACCCGATTAGAATATAAGACCGAAGATCTCAGCCCAGTGTTTCAGCCAACCAACTGCCCTGGAAATCCACAAATGCGGGCTGGCCTCATCCTGACAAAATATACCTAATACGGGAAGCCTCAAAAACTCCCTAAACCCGAAACCCTGAACCCAAAAACCAGAACCACCCCACACTGCAAGCTTGGCAGGCCAAGCATGCTAAGCCACGCAATGTCTTTTGAACGCGCAGCTGAAGAGCTTTCTTAGCTCGGTCCGGTTAATGCAATGTGGATAAGTGTACCAAAGTTCTGTACTTATCAGGACATACCTGATTTAGTACCATAATATACTGTAATCTACCAAATAATACCATAATATAGGGGGGTGCACATATCCACATGCCAGAGTGCCTAGCAATATCTGCACGCTCAGATGGGCACAGGCTCTCCTATGATATGGACATCTCGAAGTTGCTGGATGAAATGGGGTATAATACCCCCCAATATTGGAGAATCAAATGGAAAAGAACATGGAAAATGAAAATGACACTGGAATTAAAAGGTAGTTTATAGGGATTTGGGGATTTCCCAAAATTGAGGGTACCATCTGGGGGGCCCCAATAATAAGGACTGTTGTATTTGAGGGTCTTCATTGGGTTCCTCCCTACTTAGTTAGGGAAGCTACCATACAAGTGGAATTATGAATTCGTTCCCGACCCGTACTTGTATACCCACGAGCCTCCAGGTATGAAAGACTAAACCCTAAACCCTAAAGATCGAAATGCAGTGGGTCTCAAATATTGGTTTCAGGTGCAGGCCTTGGGGATCCTGGGCAAGCGTAGGATGGACCTAAACCCTAAACCCTAAGCCCCAAACCCTAAACCCTACAACCCTAAACCCTAAACCCTAAACCCTAAAACCTAAGACCCTAGACCCTAAACCCTCAGACCCTAAACCCTAAACCCCAAACCCTAAACGCTAAACCCTAAGCCCTAAATCGCTTCAAAGGAGAGTGAGTGTGAGGGGAAGAAGCAGTTCAGCAGCTCCAAAGGCTATCACGGGACTAGGATCTGCCTAGAGACCCCTAGGGTTTAGGGTTTAGGGTTTATGGTTTAGGGAATATAAGGTATATATACATATATACTTGTTTTGGTTGTTTTTTCCACTGTGATGGCGCCCCTTTTATCCAAAGCAGCACCTGCCCTTCGCCTAGGGTTTGGGATTTCGGGTTTGGTGCGTAGGGCTTAGGGCTTAAGCTCTCTTTTTTAGGGCTTAAGGCTTAGGGTTTGGGGTTTTGGATTAAGGGTTTAAGGTTTAGGGCTTGCATTTGCTACCCCAACACACCATCATCTTCATGTGAAGGACGGCTCCTAACACCTTTATGGGACCAAAATCTTGGAACATATCGTAGCTTCCCTACATAGCGGGACCCCACTACAAACCCCAAAATGCGATGATCCTCATTCTGGGAGCCTCAAAAAGGTTCCCCTAGCTTTCGGAAACCCTCAATCCCTCAACCCTAAACCCCAGTTATCCCTACGTATCCCTACACATTCCTATAGAACCCTATAACGCCTCCTATCTCCCCCTTTAAAGGAACCCCCCCATATCCAGCTGGAAAGATCTGTCCTCCAGGAACTCCCCGGGCCGCTGGATCGTGTAGCAGGCCATGCACCAGGAAGAAGAGCAGATACATCAACGCCTAGACTTGGGCTCAGTTCTGTTTTCTTTTGTGGTGCCTTTTCTCCATGGGCTCAGGTTTTTTTTGGGGGATGGGCTCAGGTTTAGGGCTTAGGGTTTAGGGTTTAGGGCTTGGGGTTTAGGAGGCAGATACATCGAGGCTTAGACTTACCGGGGGGAAGTAGGGAATGACGGAATATACTATAGAGCTTAGGGTTCGCAGGGAAGCAGGGAGTATGTTATAGAAGGACTGTATAGGGATTTTATCCCCTTCTTCCCAACTAACCCACCAGTAAGTAGACTTGAGGGGGATGGCTCAGGGGGCTAAGATTGGATCTGAGATCTATTGGCGCCCTGACTACCATACCTTTTTGGTGCAGCGACTGCGGTTTCTTTGCTGCTTCAGGTCCCCGGGGTTTAGGATCCTTATTCGTGCATAACAAGGTTTCCACCTGAGGCCAGGACCCCAGAGTAGTCCCCTATAGAATCCCCTCTATAACCTCCCCTTTAAGGAGTTTAGATAAGAGCTCACCTGAGGCCTGAGCAGCATTGAAGATGACTCCGCCAACCCAGAGGAGCAAAACGATGGTTGTGATAGCCGCCTCAGTGGACTTAGGGTTATCTTGGGGTTATATAGGGATAACGGAAAATAAAATAGGAACTATAAAGATTATAGGGATTGTATAGGGTTTACATAGGGATCATAGGGTCATATTGAAGTTTCAAAAAGTCATGATGCTTCCCAGCAGGCATGCATGAGACTGGGGATTGGCAATACAGGATTAGGGTTTAGGGTTGAGCGACAGTTAGGGTCCCTACTTTCTACAAATCTTCCAGGTAAGGATTTTCAATACAAGGAGCCTCCGAAGGGAGCACGTATGGCAACAAGAACAACCATACTAGAACAACACTTAAGAACAGCTGCAACAGCAATGTGTATACCTAAACAGAATAATAACCGCCTATGATATAGGAGCTTCCATCTTATTTTCCATTATCCCCATAAAGCCTCCACATTGGGATAATGGAAAATAAAATGGAACCCTAAACCCTAAACCCTAAACCCTAAACTACTGTTTCAACTTGGAAAGAATGTCCATGTTCTTTTCCATCATGCCCAAGGCCCCAATACATTAGATTTTCTATGAAAACCCTAAACCCTAAACCCAAGGCCCCAATACATTAGATTTTCTATGAAAACCCTAAACCCTAAACAGAGTAAGAACGATCTCAATTCTGGGTTGGCCCCTAAAACCCTTTGAAAAATCTTGACATGTGGGGGTCCCCTATTAAGGCCATTAGGGAAATTAATAAGTATCCCAGGGGCCTACCCAGAATTTGGGAACCCTAAACCCTAAACCCCTAAACCCCCAAACCCTAAACCCCTCAATCCTCGAGACTCCGGCCAGCAGTAGCCATCTCTGCATTGGGGTCAGGACTACCTCCGAATTGGGGGTTCTCACGATGTGGTTTAGGGTTTAGGGTTTAGGGTTTAGGGTCCGCATAGGGTAATTTTGGGTGATATTAGGGTTATACTGGGATTTTATAGGGACAATGGAAAAGAAAATGGAAACTACTATGCTGTACTGGGTCCGTGGGTTTTTAGGTTTTGGGTACTACTAGGGTTATATTGGGATTATACAGGGATAAGGGAAAAGAAAATGGAAACTACTATAGTATACTGGTTAAGCGGGTGTCACACGGAGAATTCAGGGCACATCTCGGAATTTGCAGAAAGAGGCTTGCTCAATTTTTTGGAGAAGCTAGACCGCTAAGCTTTAAGCTTTACGTGGGGAGTAAGGGAATATAACCCCTATACAAATTCCTATATTATTACATTCCCCCCCAAGCCCTAAACCCTAAACCCTAAATAGTAGCTTCCATTATCTTTTCCGTTATCCCAACATAACCC